GACTGGAGTGCAGTGGCCGCTCCTGGCCACCGCAGCCTCGACCTGCTGGGCGCCGGTGATGCCTCCACTTCAGCCTTCCAAGTAGCTGGAACTACAGGCACACGCTACCATGCCCAGCTAATTTTTTATTTTATTGTAGAGATGAAGTCTCACCAAGTTGCCCAGGTGGGTCTCGAACCCGTGGGCTCAGGCAATCCACTCACCTCAGCCTCCCAAAGTGCTGGGATTACAGGCTGAGCCACCAAGCCCGGCTAAGATTTTTTTTTAAACACAAATTTCTGAGCCTCAATTCTAGATCAGCTAACTCTGGAGTTTCTCAGGAATGCAGATTCCTGAGGACCCCAGGGGGATCTAAGTCCTGCTTCCCAGCTGCTGAGGCATCTCTCCCCTCAACCTGACACTGGCCTCTCCACTGCCCTCTACGCTCCACCCCCTCCCCACATCCCCCACTCTCCCTGCATGCCACGGCCAAGGACCAAGCAGCAGTGTGAGGCAATCACTCCATCCTTGACCCCTCCCCCTCTGCACAGTGAGTGATGGCTTTTTTATCTCTCAGTGATGAAGCACAGCCTTCAGCTGGAGGCATTTAAGACACACCCTGTCCTGGCTGCAGCTGTGGGACTCAGAAGCGGACCTTGAGGGGCCCAGGAGAAGCCTGCTAGACAGAGGGACAGCAGCAACCTTAGAGACCCCAGCACTGCCCCTCCAGCGGAACAATGCTGCTAGCAACATTCAAGCTGTGTGCTGGGAGCTCCTACAGATATGCCCGCAACATGAAGGGTGAGCTCTGGTGGGAGGCTTCGAGGGTGCCACTTCGAGGGGCTTTCAGGCAGCAGGGCTGAGCGGGAAGAGTGCAGGATGCAGCCAGGCCACCCAGTTCTGATCCCAATTGTGCCTCTTACTTGGGGAACCAAGCAACGCTCTTTCCTTTTTAACCTCCTGAAGAGCTGGGCCAGTTACTAAGATACCTGCATCCCTACCAGATTCGGTCATTTCTGGTCTGGGATCCAATCTTTCTTTCTTTTTTTTTGAGTTGGAGTCTCACTCTGTCGCCCAGATTGGAGTGCAGTGGC